GTAACAATCTTCCCTTCTCTATAAAAATAGTAGTACATTTCAAAAGTTTAAAAAAGAAGTCACAAACTGGATTAATGAAAATAATACTTAACGACATTGCCACTGCTCGTTTACTAAAAGTGAGAACTATACTCACTCACAAAAATATTCGGACAGTACTCAGCTTACTCACGTTGAACATGCTCTGAGACTGTTAAAACAATAAAATATTATACCAGTAATAATTTTAATTTTGTTTTAGTTTTAAATACTTGTACATAGCAAAATGCGTTTTTTCTGCTTTTACATCAATGATGAATTCGCATTAGAACTTCCAATAACAGAAATTGCACATCAAATAAATATTCGGACAGACGTATTAGTTCATATATCATTTTTGTCAACGAATTCTTGGACGAAAGCAGATATAGTAACTTTTCCCACAGTTGATTCAAGGTCTGTTATAACGGTCAATCGACGAGCTGTCAAAAATCAGTCTACTAGTGTCTCTCCTTGAAAAACGTTGGAAAAATGCCTCGAAAAGGAAAGAACATCTCTTTCGAACTGCGTCAGTTAGTTATCTTTCATAATGCAAGAGGCAAGAGCTGCCGTGAAATTGTAAAAAATCTGAATATGAAGAAAAGCTCGGTATGTGATATAATCAAGCGATTTAAAAAAGAAGATAGGATTGAGTCTCGCCGCCAAAATGGACGCCCCCCTCAACTTTCCCATCCGGAAGAGATCTTGGTCATCAGAAAGATTGAAAAGAATCCCGAATTAGGTGCACTAAAGATTGTTGCAGAGGTGACAAAAGAACTGGGGAAGGAAGTACATCCAGAAACAATAAGTGATTCTACGAAAAGCAGAATTTCATGGTCGTGTAGCTAGAACAAAGCCTTTCATAAATAGTTAAACAGGAGGAAAAGGCGGGAGTTCGCTGGGGAGCATATAAACAAGGATATTGAATGGTGGAATCGCGTAATATTTTAGGTCGAGAGTGAATTCAATGTGTTTGGACCAGACGGAAGATCATTGATCTGGAGAAAGGCAAACGCACAGTTGCAAGAGAAGAATCTGCAGCCAACAGTAAAACACGGAGGTGGGAACGTAATGGTGTGGGGCTGTATGATGGCGAGTGGTGGGGGTGAGCTTGTCTTCATTGAATATGTAATGGACAAACATAAATATCTAAATGTGCTGAAGGACAATCTTAAAAAATGTAGATTTTATCAGGACAATGATCCTAAGCATATGTCTCAATTGGTTCAACTGTGGCTCTTATACAATTGTCCTAAAGTTCTTCATCCCCCCCCCAATCCCCAGACATCAACCCCATTGAAAATTTTTGGCAAAAATTGAACAGTAAAGTGAGAAAGGAGCCCATTGCCAACAAACAACAATTAAGAGAGAGACTGCATGAAGAATGGAATAAAATTTCTGCAGAGTATACTAGAAAACTCGCATGCCAAAGAGGTTGAATGACTCGCAAGCCAAAGAGGTTGAATGACTCGCAAGCCAAAGAGGTTGAATGAAGTTTTGAAAATAAAATGACTCCCTACAAGTTATTGATGTACTTATTTTTTTCTTTTGTTTAGTTTTTTAAAAATTTGTTTAAAATATGTGTCCGAATATTTTTTGGATGTTCTGAAGGATTACGTATTCTTCAAATTTATTGTATTTTAATAATTATTAATGTGAAAATTAAACTTGCATGTTGTTCTAACGCATGATGTGTGTGATTTTCATTATTCACAACCAAAATTACAACAAGTTTAATATTTTCTTCTAAATTAAAGAAAATGTGGTAAAATTGTAGGTGTCTGAATATTTGTTTGAGTGAGTGTAGGTGGACGCCATGCTGTTTCAGCGCAATGACGAATCCCATTCTAACTCCAATGCTACTTTTCACACACTGTTCTATTCCATTTTTCAAATAATACTTCTATCACATCCTCTATCCTTTCTTATATTTTCTCTTTTTCTCCCTCTCTCTCTCTTTCTTTCTTTCCTCCTTCCTCTCTCTCTTCGGATCACTAAAATCCTCAATCTTGTAGTTTCCTTCCACTCTAACTTTTAATTTTCATTCTAGGTTATTTAATAACTTCTTTCCTCAAAATTTAATATTATTTAACTTCAATAAGTGAACAAACATGTGTCACACAAAAATATTGTTCCTCTTTTTATTTTATTTTACATTTACCGTTATTAAATCACATTTACATTTACCCATACGAAATAATTTGATTACTCCATGATCTAGCTATACGTCTTTAAAACATACTTGTACACTCCCTCAATCATACATCACTTTAATTACAGTACATACATGTGCATACCTGTGTTATGTATACATGATTATGCATTTGTGCAATGTAATATGCATACGAGCATAGGATCACATGTACTTGTATTCAAAATATTATAATTCGTGTGATTTTCATTTTTGTCTAGATGTGTGTTACTAATTTGCAATCTTTCTGTTTCAGCTCATCATTTCTTACAAATTTCGCCATGCGTTAAGACATAATATTCAATTCAAAATATTTCTGTTTCTTCTTTGTATATTGTGAAATTGCTAACTTGTATTGTGTTTTTGACAGAGTAATGTGTCTTGACCTTAAGCCACCATCGTGATTGAGGTTTACCTGAGTTTACTCAATCGCTTAAGGCACATGCCGGGATGGTCCCTTGTTTGCAGTCCCAGGAATAAATGACTTATGGGTGGGAGATGTTGGGTTGGGTTTTCAAGTCTTGGGAATATTCTAATTGGAAAACATTTCCTAAATTTTCATAATTTATACTTTTCTAGTTTGGGGTATACATTTGAAAACCTTTTCTAAAATTAAATTGATTGTATCCACATTTTTAATTCCTTTTTTTTAAACTTAATTTAATAACCGAATAGTTTTCTCCGAATAGTAATACATTTTCATATTATTAATATTGTTAATATTATTGTTATTATTATTATTATTATGAAATACAGTTATTACCATTACGAAATACATTATCTTCCAATGTTTTCCATTTCTCCAAAGGCTTGAATTCTAGACTCGATGTGTTTTTGCTTGTATGCTTACAGTATTCCTTCCCTTTCTAGTCTTTTTTAAGGGGTAATTCAAAAATACATACGCAATCTTAGCTCCTTCAAATCCTCTGTAAAATAATTATTAGTGTTTATTAATCTTTCACAGACTTTAACAAGCTCCTTCCAATCCTCTTCAGTACCTAACTTGCCGAGTCACAAAATATATTTTCTCAAAATTTGAATAAATTCTCATAGTGTTCAATCTGATATTTTTATGATTAATTTTAATACATCCCTAAATT